TCAGGGTGTGCCCCGGGGAAAGTGCCTGGTCGCCGAGTCAATTTAACATCTTATGCACTTCCACATACAACTGCTCTGTGCTTTCAAGTGTCACCATGTTTCATAATTAGAGAGGGAATTTAGAATAAAAAGTCAGTTACGACCTTTTCGTGGGAGAGCAGCAGGTTTGATGTTGGAGAGAGGGCCAGGAAGTTTCCCGCAACTTGCCATTGGAGCACTTTCCTAGGCAAAAGTTTGTCATTCTAAGTGACAAGAGCACTTGAAATTAACTTTGTAGTAATTGTTTATGAAGAAAGTCTCAGACAGACAGTAGTGGAATGATGAACTCCCACAGATCTGTCGCTCTGAGTCCACGGGTCTCACGATCGCTGGACTGGCTCCATCATTGAAGTATTTGATAGAAAGTGAAATTGTTAATGTTGGTTTGCCTTAAAAACCCAAGACTCACGAGAGGACTTGGCAGTCAGTGGCTACGAGGCCAGCCGGGATGGTGCCCTACCACCCCAGCCTTACTGGTCAGAATCTGGGGCTCTGCATTTGCAGCTGGCCTGTGGGATTGCCAGGCCCCTGAGGTGTGAGAACTGTGGTGGTAGAAGTGATTGAAGGTGGGTGTGATGGATGCGGATGTCCCTGAGCTGTAGGTCGCCTTTACCCTGGGTGTGGGTGAGCGGTCACAGTCACTCCAGCCTCTGTCTCTCATACACGAGTTGCTCCATCCGTAGTGTGTGCTGGCTGCTCCATGATTTCAGTTCCCATCATGCAATCAGGCTTAGCTTGTCAGCTCCCCAGTCCTTCTGGCCCTCTTCACTGTTCTGTCTGGTCTGAGCTGACTGAGGGGTAACCCCTGAGGGCCTTGGCTATCCTGTGGACACCCTGAGGAGTTGGTGGGATTTTAGGCATTTAACTACATGCATGGAAAGATCTTCAGAACTTAGCAGGGAGCCAGGCTTTGCAGTTACCACAGCCCCAGAGACATGGGCTTTCTGTCATCCCCATATTAGAAAGGGTTAAGCAGTTTCAAGCTGAAGTCACAGGGGCTGCTCATGTCACAGGAGCTGCTCATGTCACAGGAGCTGTGCCCAGACCAGGCCAGCCTAGCAAGGTCTGTTCCTCACCTCTACTCTGTGCATCTCTTGGGGCCAGTCAGAACCATACTCCATGCTGATTTTGACGCAGACACACAAAACTGGGTAGGATAATCCTCACAGACCACCTTCTTGGCCCATCCTTTTCCCCTTCACTTCTGAACACAGGCTCTGAGTGACAGCACTTCAGGGTCACGTGATTGTAAAAACTGCCTGTGAAGTTTAATCTTTACTATAGATTTGTAGTAGTAAATATGTCAGCACTTCTTTAATATTGGGTATAACAAGATTAACAATTGCTTAGGATTTGGAGCATTGGAAAGGAATGACTTAAAGTAGCTCTGGACATGTATGTTGTCACAGCACAGAGAATGGTATCCAGAGCACTTAGTGAGATGCAGGAGAGGCTGCGTCTAGAGTGGTTTTAGACTTTTAAGTAATGTGGAAGCCTCCCCACACCCATCACATTATTTATTTTTCTTTATAGTCAAGCTATAATTTAATATAGTGAAAGGAACAGATATAGTACAGGTCAGTGAATTTGGATACATGTGTGTGCTTGTGTAACCTGGGCACCTGTGTAGAGGGGGGTATGTTCCTCCAGCTGCAGCCATTCTGTTCTTTTACGACTGAGATTAGCTTTGCCTGTTCTGAAGTTTCAGATCAGTAGAGTCACACAGTACATATTTTTTGTGTCTCGCTTCTTTTAGTCAGTGTAATGTTTTGAGATTCATCTATGTTGTTGCATATATCATTAGGTTTTTTTGTTGCTGTGTTATAGTCCTTTGTCAGAATACACCACAGTTTATCCATTCAACTTGTTTATCTTAAATCCTAGAAGAAATTACATCTGAGGGGGAGGAAGCAAGGCTAGTGGTGGAGTGTCTGGTCCCAGCAGAAGAGTGATGTGGAACGTGATAGGAGAGAGCTGCTCTGGGTACAGGATTCCCACGTCTGGAGGGAGTGCAATGGAGAGGGTGGCCCGAAAGGAGTATTTAACTGTGGAACCCAGGTAACTGGAGTCTACAGGCAAATGTGCAAAAAATTAATGCAGAAGAAATTGGTGGAGGATTCAGCCTTCCTAGAAAGCGGTTTGATAATGTTTATCAAGTGCCTTAAAAATGTTTGTACCCTTTGCCCTAGTAATAACTCTAAGGAATCTAGGCTAAGGAAACCAAGTGCTGGAAATATCAAAGCACCCAAAGTTAGAAACCAGTATTATTTGTGATTGGGAAAATCGTAAATAGTATGAATGCTGTGGATAACAGTTAAATACAAGGTAGCATGTTTATACATTGTAATAAACAGCTATGAGAAATAATTGTAAACTTTTTATTTAACATGGAAGATATGATTAGGAAAAAAAGCAGAACTTGTGGTATACTCATGCAGAGAAGAAAGTGCTTAGGGAAGTGGCTGGGAAGGAGGAGTCACATGATGGCTGTTTTCTCTGAGTGGTGAGGATCCTGCTGGCATTGTGTTTTGTACTTTTTGATACTCTTGCAGATTGTCCACTGTGCACCGTGGAAATCACCCGACCCACCAGTGAGAGCACCAGTGAGAGGCTGCTTGCTCCGAGCTTGCTGCAGTGAGGGAGTCAGCCGTGCCACTTGTGTTTGGCAGAGGCTGGAGGCAGGCTGGGAGGGGGAGCTTTGGGTGGAAAAAGGGCAGGCTCTGGGATGCCCTCTGATGGAGGCTGCTGCCTAACCAGAAGTGGCCTCCTGTGTGATTGCTTAGGGTGTGTCTTTGGCTTTCTCTGGTTGGTCCTAAGTTGGAAGTGGTGAGAAAAACTGGAGAGGCTGTCAGTTGTTAATCATGTCCTGGCCATTGGGGCTGATTGTTGCAGGAGTTAATGTTTGGCTGCCTAGGTTGTTTCTGGGGATAGCAGGCTGGCTTCCTGGCTGGTCACCGTAGCTCTGGGGTTGGTTTCCTGGGCTGACTGGTGCACATGTGGATCAGAGTTCTCTTTCATATGTGGTCCAGCTGCTGTTTGTTGTTCAGTCTCTCAGAGCAAATGTGGCGACCTCTGGGCTTTCTTTTTCTGGCAGAGCTGTGTTCTCGGGGCTGCTGACAGCCGACTGTGGCCTGTCATTTCATCCAGCCTCTTAAGTTCCCTGAAAGGAGGCTTCTAGAGCCCATATCCAGCTTCCAGAGAGGGTGTGAGGGTCTCTCGCTGTGCTTACCCCCACTCATGGACTCGTGACCTGGAATTTCTAAGGACTCTTCCAGGAAGGGGAAGTAGGGGCCCAGAGGGTGTTAGGTGCTTGCTGGAAGTTCTTGAACTGTCTCCAGTGAGTTGTGGGTTTCTGTGACCTGTCCATTCTTATTCTTTTTCCTTTTGTGAGCTGCCCCCGCCATTCCCTGGTCTCCTACAGTGATGTGCTGTAGACCCACCTGACCTGCCTTGCCAGGGGGTCATGGCACAGGATTTCCAGGGTCGGGGAGGCCAGCGGGGGAGGGGGACCAGGAGTTCTTTTGACTGTAAACTAGGGCTTAATTCATGTAATTCAAGTAGATTTGGTTTGGGTCCTAAATTAAATCAGTTGTCATGCAGAGTCAGAATTTTAGATTATGATGGAAAAGAGATACCAAAAACCAGTAAGGTAAAGTGACTTGCCACAGAGGAACCCTTGGGACAAGTGATTGGGCTGAAAAAAAAAGACCTCTGTACAAGTTAAATGTGCAGCCCAGATGAAACACTTGACTACTTTATTACCAGAAGTAATTAAAATGTTGGTGGTAAACTCTTTTAGTCATTTAAAAATGGTTGAGTAGCCAGTGTATACAAGGTGTGATGATAGGGACGCGGTGGCTCATGAGTCGCGCCTGCTTGCTATCGTGGGGGAGGTTAGTTTTGTCAGGAGAATGACCTGTGGCCACTTGTTATTCTTTTAACTTTATTTTGAAGTAATCACAGATACACAGGAAGTTGCGGAGAAATGTTTGGGAAGATCCTGTGTGCCTTCCCCGCTCCCCAGGGTCGGCATCTGGGGAAGTTGCAGGCGGAGCACACTGGTCGCTTGGTAGAGCCACCACCACAGTCCAGGTGCAGAACCATCCCTCACCCGAGCCCTTTATGGCCGCACCCACCCCTCAGCTGTCGTTGTGAGAACATAACGTAAATGGGATCACACAGTACGTGACCTTTTGAGATCAGCTTTTCTCTCTCAGTATAATTCTCTTCAGATTCATCTAGATCGTCTTGTGTGTGTCTATAGTTCATCTCTTTCTGTCTCTGAGTTGGATTTTGTGATGTGGATGGGCCAGAGTTTGTTAATCATGCCCTGGTTGAAGGGGATTGTTTCTAGTGTGGGGCTACTGGGAATAAAACTGATATGAACATAATTGTACATGCTTCTATGTGAATATTGGTTTTCATTCTCTGGGATAAATGCCCAAGAGGTCACTTAATTTCATAAAAATGTAGGTGTTAAATGCATGGTAGGTGAGATCTATGACATTGAGGGAAAGGGGAACTTTTTCACTGTCTATTCAAGGGTAGAGCTGGCAGGAGTGAGCCCTCATAGGGGGTTCCGGGGAGGGGTGCGGCCAGCAGCCAGTTCTCCCACATTGCAGAACTTCCCTTCCTGGGCCCTGGGCTCGAGCCGGGATGGCAGGTGCCCCTGTGTACACACCCCAGCTCTCCAGAGGTACCTGGGCTCACTCTGGCTACAAGGACTTTTTGTTTGTTTGTTTTTAAAGAAGTCTTCAAGTTGGAGTATTTAAAAGATTCTAACCCTGTTTATGAATAACTCAAATGAATTATTTGAAATAAAAATGTTTAGCTACATTACAAATATGAGAAGAGAAAAACTTAATGTTTTATGGTTTAACTTTCTATCCTAGGAATGGTTGTCCTCAGTGGAATGCTCATTGTGTGTTGGATGCTGCTGCCCTGAGCCAGCTCCTGAGGTCCTCCCAACTTCCCATGAGGTGGCGCTGGCTCAAGATGGCACAGGTCAAAAGCTGGAGCCCTCCCTCTTCTCTGCTCTGCTTTTTAATTCCCCAAAGACCTCTCAGTTTAGAATCAGTTCACAAGAACAGTTTCTGCAGTTTTTCACTTCTAAGAGTGCACATGCGGCTGATGGTGGGTCCATCAGGCAACGTACCTGGGCAGGACCCCCACCCCTGAGCTTTCCTGGGTGTGGGCTGGGTCCTAGGAATCTGCATGTAAGACCTGTGGCACCAGTGCTCTGCGTCACACGCTGGTTACTACCTCCTTAGTTAGCTGTCCCCTGCCATATAGCACTGGTGGGGAAACCATCCCTACAGCATTTTGGTTCCTTTGAAAACAGAAAGGAGTTGGGGGGTGAGGGGATGGGCTGAGGCCTTGGTCATGCAAGCTTGTGCCCAAGCAGAACTTTAGGTAGGACAGAATCGTACGTGAGGGGACATCATAGAGAATGCAGCCTGGCAGAGCCTCTGCTCCTTGGGAGAAGTAAACTGGGAAGAGTCCCAGGAGTCAGTGTGAGCCTGAGGCAGGCTGGGCCAGCTGCAGCAGCATGGGAGTGGGGCGTCCAGGGAATGCGCTCTGCCAGGGTCGTCATGTCCCTTCTGAGAGTACTGAGGCAGAGAGGACAGCTCCTGTGAGCTGGCACAGGAGCATGCACAGGCCATCCCTGCTCCCGCGTGGTTCTGGTGATGTAGCTTTTCAGGGGCTCTTTGTGGTGAGTACAAATATGGGGTTAGTGAAAGCATCAGGTAGGGAAGGAACAGACCCTTCTGATATGCAGAAGTGACTTTGTCACTAGTCATGGTCCCTGGTAAGTTAGCTTCAGAAAGCAGGTGCTGTCCTGCAGACACCAATGCCTGCCAATGTGGCTGCCCAACACACACCCTGCCCTGCCCTAGGCCCCTGCTTCTCGCCGCGTTGCATGGTGCACACTCACCTTGATATAGGGTGGGGGTGGTACTCAGCTCCTGACTGGGGCTTGCCAAATCTTGTTACTGGGCACAGGTTTGGCTGTCTGTCCCCCCCAAAAAAAACCTAGCTTGGCTCACCAAAATCTGTTACCCCAGGGCATTTCGTTCTTGGCTGAGGCTTCCCAAAATCTGTTACTGAACCCAAGTCCGGCTGCCTGCCCCCAAACAAAAATAAACCCAGAAGTCACGTGTTGATTAAATGGGAGTCAGCTTTGTTCAGGAGTCCCGGTGACCTGAGGACAGACACTAGGCTAACCCACCTCTCTGGCATACCTGAGGGAGAATGGACAGGCCAAAGCCATCTCAGAGACTCAGGTTTACTGAGGGGTTTTGAAAGAGGGGGCTGAGGGATGGAACGTGGGAAGTGAAAAGCAGGAGGAGGGGCACGGGAACAGCGAGAGGTCCACACCTGCGTGTCAGGTACGAGGTCTCACAAAGGCTCCGTGTGGTTTCTGCTCCTGTCCTTGCTGTCATCTCAGGGTGTCAGTGGAGGGTGGGGATCAGCACAGCTCTACTGATGGTTTTTCAGGGTCTGGATAGTGTGCGTTTTCTGGCAAGTAGTAGATTCAGGCTGACTGGAAAACATTACATTTGTGTAAATAACGTCATCTTGCCCTGTAACCAACGTTTAAAATGTCAAATAACCATGGGAAAAGAGGGAACTCAGAGAAATGCATGCCAAGGAAAAAACTGTCCTTTCAAATCTTTCTGCACCCATGCAGTTTTCGGTCCCAACATGGCTTCAGTCCTGCTCGCTCCAGCAGTCTCACTTCACCACAGCCTCTGCTGTCAGGGGCACAGATGACTAGGTTTTTGGTGTAGATTTTCAGCCTAGGCATTTAAAAGTATCTTTCTCCTATCTTTAGTTCACTTATCTTTTTTGATGGAGAAAATTGCTGTGCTACATACAGTTTAGAGGTCTGTCATTTGTAACAATCGGACTGTGCCTGAATTAGAGACACACAGGAACGTGGCTGACCTGAGGGCAGAGTTGTCTTCCACTCGGTCCCTGGCTCCCAAATCTGTGTCTTTGCCGCATGCTGTGCTGTGGCCTCTCATCCCTCTGACAGTCAGTGGCTGGACTGTGGGGGCGTTGTTGGATAGAAATTCTGAGATGTGCTAAATGGCATCTTCCTTGGTTTCAACAGGACACGATGTTTGCGCGAGGACTGAAGAGGAAATGTGTTGACCACGAGGAAGATGTGGATGGATCCCTGGCTGGCTTTAAGACTCTCCCCTCCTACAGCCTGCAGCGGCAGTCGCTTCTGGACATGTCCCTGGTAAAGCTCCAGCTCTGCCACATGCTAGTCGAGCCCAATCTCTGCCGTTCGGTGCTCATAGCCAACACGGTCCGGCAGATTCAGGAGGAGATGACCCAGGATGGGATGTGGCGGGCAGTGGCACCCCAGAGTGTGGCGCGGGCCCCTCTTGACCGCCTGGTTTCCACAGAGATCCTGTGTCGCTCGGCGAGGGAACAGGAGGGGGAGCATCCTGCTCCTGAGCTGGGCTCAGTGTCTGAACTTCCCCTGGTCACCTCAGCACAGGTGCCGAGGAGCCCTCAGAGCAGCGTTTGGGAAACAGACAACCCTCGAGAAAATAGAGGAAGCTTTCAGAAGTCGCTAGATCAGATATTTGAAACACTGGAGAATAAAAACCCCAGTTCCATGGAAGAGCTGTTTTCAGATGTGGACAGTTCCTACTACGATCTGGACACGGTGCTGACAGGAATGATGAGTGGCACCAAGTCTGGCCATTGTGACACGCTGGAGGGCTTTGCCTCAGCAGCCGCCCCACCCCCCAGCCCCAGCTGCAAGTCCGAGCTAGGTGAGCTGGACCACGTGGTGGAGATCCTGGTGGAGACCTGAGCAGCCTCCTGGCAGGCTGCTCCTCAGCCCTGTGACCCAGCTGTTCATCAGATGCACTTGTGAGCTTCGTAATTCGGCGGACTTGGCCCTGCAAGGAGTGTTCTGGCCCTCTGCAGCCAGTGGCCAGCCTTGTGTGGTTTGTGTATTGGTTCTCGGAGTGTCCAGGAACAGCTGGTCATCAGCAGGGTCTGCGGCCTCCAGACCTGTCCCCTCCCCTTCCCCTCTGAGGAGGGCAGAGCAGAGGCTGGTCAGACGGGAGCTCACCCCTGGGCCAGTCTGGACCCTCTCAGAGCCCGGCCCCTCGTGCCTCATTGTGTCCTGGCTGCAGCCACTGTGGGCTGAGCCGCAAGCTGCATCCAACCTTGTTTAATTCTAGATGCGTGAATTTTTTAAAATTAAGTTTTGTATGTTTTGGGCAGTATTTTGTCTTAAGGTATATTTTTTAAACTTTTTATACTTTATCTCTTTAGATTTTTTCAGCTATTTTCTTAAAAGTATATTTTTTCTATAAACATCCTCTGCTGCTACATTAGCAACTTTTATAGCCTAAACAATTGCAGTCGATGTATTTCTTTTTTTAAAGGTTTAAATAAGGGAGTGTTTTTGCAGTGAGCTTCACTGCACTTGAGTCAACAGTGTGAACATGTTATGATTTTTTTACCTTTAATTTGTGTGTGGCCCTTCCCTATCATGTCCTATGTTACAGTTAGAGCTTCATTAAAATCGAGAACTATTCACAGCCACGACACTTTTTTTTATCATTGGAAGATCCACTGTGCTTGCTGTGTCTTCCTAGACTGAAGTGTAAATTAAGGAGAGTTTTATTTATGCCTATTTATATGTAAATGTCATTGGAGGCAAGGGTCAGATATTAGTCTGTTTGGAAATCATGAGCACCAGTTGATCTTCAGAGATGTGGAGTCTCTTGGTGGTGCCTCTGGCAGCTTGTATTTCTAGAGGGCCCCTCCTGTCAGATTCCCCAGTACAGGACCTGCTGGGGCGCCCTGTGCCAGGCACACACGGGTTTTAAAGGACATGTCTATGTGCTGTTGGATTGGGAATGCCTTGGCTGGCTCTGTTAAATTGGTGCTGAAACAAAATTTTAATGTTAAATTTAAATCTAGAATGAAAAATCTGAATCTGTATACTTTGTGGCCCTCGATCTTGAGGGTCATTGAGGTGCTGCTGTTGGAAGTGAGTGGGCCCCAAGCGCCCCTGTGCCTGCAGAGCCTTGACGTCTGTTCACAGCCAGGCTCCTCCCCACCTACCTGTTTCCTGTTTCGCACATGCGTTTTCTCATTGCCCCACCCCTTAGCCAGAAAGGTTTCTTGTTTTCTTCTGTGCACATGACCATTCTTGATGTTGGTAATGTAAACCTCACTTTATTAAAAATTATCCAACAAAGAGATGAAAATGTGTTGTTAATTATTCACCATGTCATGACATGATCCTTGAGTGGACCTCTTTCCTAGTTTGGTTCAATCATATTATCTTAATTGTGCTTTGCAGTGGTGGGAAAAGAATTTCGCTTGCGTGCATTAAATAGGCACTGGATTACTTTTATTTTCCCATTCCCAACCACACAGGATTCCAAAGCAGAACTCCCCTTTACCTTGTTCAGCACCAGCTCCCCTTCTGCACCTGCCCTCTCCTCCAGATCTTTAGTGAGGGGCAGGGTTAGGGAGTGTGCCCGCCCCGCTGTGAGGCTGTAGGTAAACAGCGCTCTTCTGAGTCTTGACTCACTGATGGCTTCTTGTTTTGAGTTTTCTTCAGGAAAACTAGTTTGAACGGTATGTGTCTTATAGCAATAAACCTAAAGCAGCATTTAGTTCCTTTGTAGCATTGCTGTCTTTTAAAAATATCATTTGTTCAGTTTCCGCAGTAGCTCTAGTGTCTTGGCAGCCTTCGAAAGTGTGAAGTATGCAGAGAGAGTGACTTATGAGAGCATGTTGGCTTTAGGATGTTTGATTAGGGGGACTGACCTGGTACACCTGGTCTGTTTGAGAGCCTGTGCATATGTGGATGGTCAGCTCAGGTGAAGCATCCTGCACTGTGCAGGTGGCTGTGGACCATGTTTTTGCCCTGGTGAAGAGCCTGCTAGAACTTAGAAATGTGGCCTCCATCTATTGATGGAGATTGAGACCCAGTGTAGTCGGTGCCTTATTCCCTGGACTCCTGCATAATTTGTTATATTTGTAAGCCAGAAGACTGCTTGCTTCTGCCATAGTCCACAGTAGCCACACAATTGATTACTTGTCCAGAAACTTCCTTACAAGTTTGGTACATGTGGTATTTAAAAATATGTAGAAATTAATTGGAAACAGATGTTCCAAGTGTTTGGTAATGTTTACAAAGAGTCTACTCAGTGGTAAAAGTACAAATTGCAGTCACCTAAAACCTCTGCAGTGCTAACTGGGGCCTGCCCCAGTTGAGCCATGGCTCCCCTGTGCCCTGGGTGTGGGCATTTCACTTCAGTTGCAGTTTATCACATGACTACCACGTTTATTGTCCTACAGGTATTGAGATGGTGACCCCAAGACCCGGGAGGATACGTGGGGGCACCCCTCATGTGGGCCCAGCGCGTTAGGCGCACAGCTTCATGGCCCCTCTCATTGGAAGTGTGTGTGGTTTTTAAAAGTTAGAGATGCATGCTTACTTTAAGAAGTGGAACAGTGCGACAGTGGAAATCTGAGTCAGACCTCCAGGTTTCATCACACCTGGAGAGTGTGCTTCCTCAGTCCTTCCCATGACGCCTGAGTGTGCCTGCTCAGAACAGGACGGCCCGTGTGACCGTGGTACAGTACAGCCATTGACTCCAGAAGAGTGACACTGATGGGGGGCCTGTGCGGCGCTGTGTGCAGGGTCCCACAGGGCCAAGCCCCGGCTTCTTGGGCCCAGACCCCTCCCAGACTGAGTGATTAAAGCCGGACTCCCAACCTCAGACCAAATGCCCGGCGTTCTAAGTGCTCCATGGCAGCTCACATGCAGCCCCATGGTCTGCTTCAGGAGCTGGTCTGGTGGTCGGTAGTCCCCCTGAGCCCTCGGACCTCAAGGCAAAGAGCCTGGCTTGGGAACCATCTGTCAAGCTCACGGCGGGGCTCTGTCTCCATGTTTAAACTGTAAACACTCTTGTGTTATGTATTGGCATCTGCTTCAAGAGTTACTGGATCTTTTTCCTTTTCATAAACTGTCATACTTGGTATCAGGTTACTAGGAGTTTCCATCTGCAATATGTGGTGTCCTTCTTAGGACTTTGCTGCAACCCAACTAGGTTATTCTCATGGTGGTGGTGTGAGTTGGATCATTGGGTCCACGCATAGGAATGTACCCATTTATCATGTCCTGTGCATGGGTGGCTCTATGGACAGTCCAGTGTCCTCAGTGCCTGCTTGGGTGTTTAGTGGACACAGGGAGCAGGGAGGGGGGCAGGTGCTGTGTGGATGTCTATGGTTTAAGTGTAACATCCATTTCTCAGAACAGTGACGAGCCTTTGCAGTACTTTTAGGACTAGTGAGCGCTTGTCCACAAGGCTGTAATTGTAGGCTGCAGGCCTGGATGGGGGTGTCACGTGTCACTCCAGCAGGGCCCTACTGCAGCTGGGGCACCTTGAGCCCACCCCCTTGCAGGCAACCACTTCATCAGGCCCACCCAATTCATTCTGCCCTGCCCGGTGGGAGATAAGCACCTATTTCTCACGGTCTTCCCCCCCCAGTGCCTCCCATACTGGGCTTGAATGGGCTCTGTACTGCCCAGATCTGGTGGCTCTGGCCAGTCAGGCTTTGCAGAGTGGCCAGGAGCAGCTCCATGGATTGTTTCTGAGGTTGTCAGAACCAGCTAACTGGAGGTGCCTATGGGTCTGGGTAACCCACTAGGTCCACTTCTTGGATAATGATTTGGTCAATGGCCAGAGGAAGACACTTGGACCAGATCTCTAGGTTTTCCTGGAAGGTCCAGGAAGAGCACTAAAAATGAGATGCTCTGAGCAGCCCAGAGGCCATGGCCACTGAGCGTGTGGGATTCTTGGCCCTCAGAGTCTGGGCTTACTGCCACCACCAGGACCTGTGGGTAGGACCTTTGGGGACCCCTCAGCACCCTCATCATTTTTGTAAAAAATGCACCCAATTGTTTAAACTGCAAAACTGCTTCCTGCATTTGGGTCAGCTGAGGCCTTGTGACCTTGGTGCTCCTTCCCCCAGGTTTTTGCAGATAACCAGGATCTGGGGCAGTCCCCTGATCTGCTGATTACAGGTTGGAAAGCTGTAAGGTGAGTAGTGGCTGGCTGGGTGGGTGTCCACAGGGAGCTAAAGGTCCCAGGGTGCCTGCCAGGTGGAGGCCGAGGGGAGTCAGGTTCCAACAGAAACTTCAGTGTGACTAAATGCATGAGCTTTCTGCCATCTGTCCAATGTCCTCCATCCTGTGCTCACACGCGTGCTCCCTGGAGCGGCTGCAGGCCACACGCCGGTGGGCTGGGCTTCTGGTACACTGCCCGGTCACCCCCCAGGTGTTGTCTTACTGTGTGCTGACTCCAGCAAAGCCAGCGCACTCACTGCATTGGTGGACACAGGATTTTCACAAAGAGAAAAGGGCTCACTTCCCATGGAGGCCAAGGAAGTGGCTTTCCCCGTGTAGACGAAGATCTGAGCGAGGAGCTGGGTGGTGGCCGGGGGCCTGCCCCGCTGTTGACCCCAGCAATCTGCTGAAGCGGAGCAGAAGCCTGCCGGGTGGGAGCCAAGTGGGGGCACTTCCTGCCCCAGAGCTGGATCCTGGCACCTGGGAAGCCCACCTCCAGGAGGGTTCTGCTAGGCTGTGGCTGAGAGCACTGCAGTGACCTTTGTGGACCCAGGCGCCATGCAGGACAAGCCACCCTGTTGAGGGGGGCAGGAAGACAAGGAGCAGGGCCTGAGTCATTGTTGGCACCCGTGGGCTGCCAAGCACAGAGCCAGGGACCTTCCATCAAACACACTCTCAGGCTGTCTGGGACCCACTGACACCACGGCCAGAGGCTGAGTGAGGCTGGGGGGCTGGCCATGCTGTGGCTGTCTGCCTCAAAGCCATCCCCAAGGTGAGGAAGGCCGTGGGAATGAGCTTGGCCCCAGCTGGTGGCCCTGCTGTGGGGAACTGTCCAGGGCGCAGGGGAGGGTGTGCCTGTGTGCATGTGCACAGCGGTAGGGCCTGGGGTCGTGGTTTGGGGTTTTCACTGTCACCTCGGTGCCCAGCCAAGGACCCACATCACTGTGACTGCAGGGCCCTGTCCCTCCTGTGTGCTGACCCCTCGTGTCTCACCCACTTTTTGCTGCTCAGAAGCCGTCCGGTGTGTTTGGCTGCTGAGATCTTGGCCCTTGTGTTTCCTCCTTGGGGACAGAACCCTTGGCCTTGTGCTGGGGGCACTGGGGGTCCTTTGGAGGCCACAGCCCCTGCTGCAGATGTCTGCATGCTTGGGTTGCTTGGCTGCAGCTGTGTGGTCCTGCTCCGTGGCTTTCTGGGAGCCAGAGGAGTACATGGTGCTACTGCGAGGTGCTGGAGGGTGCTCTGCCCACAGAAACGCATTTGTCATCACCGTTTCACATGTGGAGTTGAGGGAGCCCTGGGCCGCAGCCTGTTGACTGGTCATCAGCATTGTTTGTTTTTGTGAAAGAATTTCAAAGCACATCTCAGATACTGAGACATTTTGACCCTAAAAACAGGTTGAACTTAAAAGATAAGGACATTTTCTTACAAAGCAGCAATACCTTATTGTAGTTAGAAAATTAATAATTGCTCAATATCATCTAACACTTGGTTCATAGTCATATGTCTCTGGTCCTCCCCTCCACCAAACTTCCCTTTTACTTTCTTTTTAATTTTTATTTGTTTATATCTTTTTGGTGGCTGATCGGTTAAGGGGATATGAAACTTTGACCTTGGTGTTGTTAACACCACACTCTAACCAGCTGAGCTAACTGGCCAGCCCCTCTAACTTTTACAATTTAGGTACCCCATCAGAGTTAACAACATGCCCAGATCCTCAGTGTCCACTTGGTGACAGTTTACAGGGGAAGATGCCCCAGTGGCTACTTCTGGTCAAGGTGTGGAAGGTACCAGCCCCTCAGCAACAGCAGGGTCCCCACCAGAGGTGACTGCCCTCCCACACACCCACCAGGGGACCTGCTGTGCTTGAACTGGGTGGGAATGGAGCTCACGGTGTGTCTGTGCCTTTGCCAGTGTTGTGTGTGCCTCTTCGTTCACTTTTTCTACATTAATTTTTTTAACTGACAAGGATAAACCGCATGTATCTGTGGTGTGCGGCATGATGTTTTCTAATATGTATACACTGTGGAACAGCTAAATTGAGCTGATTAACATATGCATCCCCTCACATTCCTGTGGTGAGAACACTAAATCTACTCTTAGCAATTGTCAGTTACACAAT